TGAAGCGCTGATCTGGAATTAAAGAGATTAGTGTTTGGGTCTCAGCTCTAGAAGTTCGCACCCCTAGGGAAGTCATATCAGCTCCTGCATCTCGCCTTTCCACGAAAACTCCTTGGCATGACTGACTGTAGAACCTGAGTGAAGATGCCAGAGGGGAAGACCATTCCACAGACTTTTTTTAATCCCCTTTCTATCTGCTATGAGGCACTGACTTGGTCTAGTCATGATTCTTTGAAGGAAGATCTTCCATCTTAAGGGATATAAAACAAGCTTGTGTTATCCTTTAAATAATATCTACTGGTGAAGTACGATTTCCACAAATGCACCAGAGGATCATAGCATCATTTGAATTAGAAAAGATCTATAAAGGTCATCCAGTCCAAGTCAAAGATATGCAGAGCAATTTCAGCACAATAACACATTTGATAGCACTATTATAATGTGTCTACAGGCACAAAAGTTTGATCAGAAAAAAATCTGAAGTCAGTTCTTAGCCTAAGATCACTCTAACACAGAAGGGCATGGCAAGAAAAACTGTTCCATGCAGGTTCTCATGTCCATATGTTGTGGTCTCTCTGATTTTGGGTCCTTACACATGGCTGTTCTTTTTGTTTCCGCAGCTCACATCACAAAATCGACTTCATTGAACCATCACAATGGACTGATTTGTAATTTGGTTAATCCACACTGGCTTACCCATAAACTCCAAGTGTCTAACATCCAGCCTTTGTCAGCTTGGCTGTCTACCTATTCCTCTATAAAGAAAAGGGACGTCCAAGACTTCTCAGAATTGCCTTCTGTGCTTCTGAGAAGCTCATTCAGCATGCAAAGTTGGGCTGGCAACCTCACCACTATCCAAAACCCAAAACGCAGGCCAGATTTTGGTGAGGATGAAAAGAAAGGGAAAAGAGTGCGGGTGGAAGAAAAAGTTCAGCCATGTTTCACAATGGTTGTTTTTTGCTTTTGAATCTAAAGCCAAAACTTCTGTTGAATTCAAATTCATGCTGAGCAGTTTGAAGAACATTCCTCCACCATGACAGGATACATCCAGCATGGGACACGAAGAAGCGTTTGCTTTGTGTTTTGGTGGTAACATCTGTGTCATCCAAAACACAAAAGCTGTCATCATCTGACTCCAACAATAGGTGAAAGACACAGCCACCAAGCCTTCCTCCCACACCCAGCACCAAATTGCACTGGTAGGGCTGCAAGGAGAAACCTCGCCGGGAGGACGCAAATCCCACAAGGGATTTCAACCCAGCATTTTTCCACCAATCTCCAACTGCCTTGAAAACATAATTAACATCACTTGTCTTTTGATTTTATCTCCATTTTCTCAGGTTGTAGGCTATCTGGGAGAGCACTGGGTACATACATGTGGGTATGCACACCAGCACGTGCAGCTACTTGTCTGCAGTTACCAGCTTCTCTGCAGCTGGTTTTCTCAGGGCCTCTTTGGAGAACACAATGTGGTAAAGAACCTTAGGGAAATCTTCCTTCTTAACCCCGTGTAGTCACTGATAAAAAGATTTTTGCTCCCATTGTATCTCACTGATACAGATGAGCTCAAATCAATGGAGCATTCAAGCTCAGCTAGGCTCAGCGCTCCGCATTCCCAGGTGTACTCTGACAAACTGCTCTCATGGGGATTTTAGAGGTGATAAAATGGCCCTTGGAGTAAGGGAGAGACTTTTCTTCCTTTCTGAACATAAATGTTAACGTTTTCTGAAAACCTGAATGATAATACTCAGAGAAAGTGATGGACATCCATACAAAAAAAAGAGACCAAGACAAGTCTTACCCAGGCTCAAGGCTAGCTGCCACTCCAGCCTATGACCACAGCTCTGTCTTTTCTCCATGTAGTCTTCTGAAATTGCCCCCATTTGCTGTAGGATTTACCAGAAATAAGATATTTTCTATGCAAAGGAAGGTCTTGGTGTAACACAAGAGGTGCAGACAGGCAGGTGAGCTGCACAGCTACACAGCAGAGGGTGCAGACACAGAAGAAGAACATCAGTTTTAAGAAAAATGATGACACTATAGGTTGAGCACTGATCTGAATCAGAAAACTAGAACATATGTTGCCAAAGGGTTAGAGAATTCCATCTGAGAAAAAAAATACAAGATGTTTCAGTCTTAAAGAACTTCCCTTTTCAGGGAAAACTGCTTGCTACGAACTTAGAGGGAAGTTTCTGAGCCAGCCCAGGCGGGGGTTCACCTACATATCCAAGCCAGAAAGGCCAAGAACAAAGCATCCAAACATGTGAACCTGCCAAAACCTCCATGGTTTATCATCTTGAGTTCAACTTGAGACCTCCAACTCTGCTAAACATGGAACAGTTTCCAAGAAAGCTCTGTTGGCAATGATTCTCAAATGCAGCTCCCGACCTGCAGCTCAGCTTCTCTGTGGATTCTGAAGGAATCGTCCTTTCTGCTAGCCTAACACTGAAATCCCACAGTGCTTTTGAACAATGTGCTGCATTTCTCTAAACACGACTATTTGTGGAAGCCTGGTTGCTGAAGGACTAGGCACCAAGCTGAGCCCAGCCGTGCCCCAGAAAACACTGGGCTTCCTGGCCAGCTCTGTGCAGCACCCACAGGGCTTCCTTCCTACCCTGCTGGGATCAGAGAAGTCATTCTTTTGGAAAAAGCTGTGCAAACCCAGGAGTGGCTGGGTGAAACTTTCCTGTCCAGGACAGAGCGGGGCAGGCACCAAACCCTGGAGATCCAGCAGGACTGAGCAAGTTTCACAGAATCACAGAATCACAGAATGACCTGGGTTGGAGGGGACCTCAAGGATCATGTAGTTCCAAC